AACGGGTTGTGGGCTATATTTTGCTGACCGTTGATTTATGTAATGATTACTTTGAAATCTTTCTCCATCTTTTTCTTTCTTTTTGGCTGGGCTCATTAATTCATTATTTATTAACTATATGTCATATGTGAGCTATGGTTCTTCTGTGCTGATTTTGGTAGATGTTATTAATACTGTCTGTCAGGCTTGGTTTAGGTTTTATTTCATCCAGGAGCTTTTGGCCAAGGACATGAATGCATGTTGAAATCCAGGAGTTTCTTTGGCCACACAGTGTGCTTTTGGGGCTACCTCCATTTCTGGTACCTCTTCTAATTTTCACAAAAGCACTGGCTGCTGATCACACTCTTTTCTTTAGTGTGGGGTTTGACTCCCTGGAGGAGGCATCATTTTCTGATTTGGTCAGTTGATGGCCCTGAGTAGTGGGCATATGATAGGTCACCAGTAACTATAATACAAATCTGGTTATGTCAGATTCCAGTCTGGAGAGTTGAAGAGAGCACTGTGTGTTTGATTTGGAATGGTGTAATCCAAGGAAGCCTTCTTGAAAAGGTGGCATTTGAATTTCAAGGCTGTGTAGAGTTGGGTTTTTTTTGTTTGTTTGTTTAATTTTAAGAAATTAAAGACGTTCTGGACAGTAAAGTAGATAGAAGTTAATAAATCACAGTTCTTTTTTGTTTTAAGATTTTATTCATTTGAGAGAGCAGCAAATGAGAGAGAAAGCACAAACTGGGTGGGGGGTGCAGAGGGAGAGGGAGAAGCAGACTGCCCACGCAGCAGGGAGCCCAATGTAGGGCTAGATCCCAAGACCCCGGGATCATGACCTGAACTGCAGTCAGATACCTAACTGAGCCATCTAATCATCCCCAGAACCCTGCTTTCGGTTATTTGGGGTATATATTCTGATGTGGTAATTGCTGGATCATATGGTAATTCTGTTCAATTTTTTGAGGAACTGCCATACTATCTTCCACAGTAGCTATACCATTTTACATTCCCACAGGTAGTGCAGAAGGGTTTTGCCAGTTTTTTGCCAACACTTGTGATTTTTTTGTCTTTTTGATAATAGCTACAGTAGTGGGGGTGAAGTGGTAGCTCATTGTGGTTTTGATTTGCATTTTTCGTGGTGACTAGTGATGTTGAGCATCTTTTCACATGCTAATTGTATGACTTCTTTGGAGGAGTGCTATTCAAGTCTTTGCCCATTTTTGAATTAGGTTGTATGTACTTTTCTTATCAAGTTACAGTTTATGTATTCTGGCATGAACCCTTTATCATATCCGATACGTGGAATGCACGTATCTTCTCTCATTCTGAAAAGTATTGTCTTTTCACTCTGATAACTCTGATAATCCTTTGCATAAAAGCTTTTAATTTTGATGAAGACTTTTTATTGTTTTTTTTTTGTTGTTGTCTATTCACTTTGGTGTCACAGTTGAGAAATCATTGCCAAATTCAGAGTCATGAAGACTTGTCCCCTCTGTTTTCTTCAAGAGTTTCATAGTTTTAACCCTTAAGTTTGCATCTTTGACTCATTCTGAGTTAGTTTTTATGTATGTTATAAGGTGTAAGGGTTCAACATATTTGTGAGGGCTTATTTCTGGACTCTCTATTCCATTGGATTTTATGTCTGTCCTTATGCCAGTATCACACTATTTTGATCACTGTAGCTTTGTAGTAAGTTTTGAAATTGAGAAGCCACACTTTGCTTTTGATTTATGTTTGTCCTTAAATTTATAATTTTCCCTCCCTCTGCACTGTTTTTTTTTTTTTTTGTTCTTCTCCTGCTGTTTATTTGTTGAAGAAGCTGTTACTTGTTATGTCATATTTACCACAGTCTTGGTTTAACTGATCATAACCTCATGGTATCAGTTAATATATTCTCCCACACCATGTTTCCTGTAAATTAGTAGGTCTTGATTAAATCTGGACTCCGATTGCATCATATCAGAAGGTACTTTTTTTTTTTTAACTTAAGGAAATTATAAAAAGCAGGCAGAATGATATATTGAACCCCTATACAACTGGCACCTAGTTTTAATGGTTAGCAACTCATGCCAGTCTTACTTCAGTATAATAACCTCTATTTCCTCTCTCTGTGTTATTTGGAAGCAATACAAACTGTTACTTAAATTTCTTTATATTGATTTGGCATCTTGAATGACGCCTTAACTTCATATTCAGTAACAATCCTGAATATGGTTATTTTGTTAAATCTGATCCACCTAATCATAAGTATATTTAGGAGTAGAGTATGATCTTGGCTTTTTTTTTTTTTTCCCCTTTTAAGATTTTATTTGAGAGAGAGAGAGAGAGAGCGCACAAGTAGGGGGAGTGGGAGAGGGAGAAGCAGGCTCCCTGACTGCAGGGCCTGATCCCAGGATCATGACTTGAGCTGAAGGTAGACACTTAATTGACTTGGCTTCTTTGAAATTCTGTTTTTGTTTCTATAAGAAACATTAAGATGCTTTATTCCAAAATACTAAAGAAGAAAATTATTTTTTTTTAAAGATTTTATTTATTTATTTGACAGAGAGATCACAGTAGACAGAGGCAGGCAGAGAGAGAGAGAGAGAGGGAAGCAGGCTCCCTGCTGAGCAGAGAGCCCGACGTGGGACTCGATCCCAGGACCCTGAGATCATGACCTGAGCCGAAGGCAGTGGCTTAACCCACTGAGCCACCCAGGCGCCCACTAAAGAAGAAAATTAAAAGTGAAGCATAATCTAAGTGGATCCTAAAAGAAAAAAAAAAAAAAAAAGAATGAACTTGGACTTTTAGCATAAGCTTCAGAAAATGCTACTATGGTACGCTAACATTCCCCTTGGTTATTCGATTTCCTGGTTTGGTCAGTGGAAATCTGTTTCTACATTCTGTACCACTTTATACTGCTGTGGGTCTTCTGTTATTTTCTTTGTTGCATGATTTGTTCTAATTAGTAAATTGGATTGTCAAAACAGTTCTTTGTTAGTCAAAGATGTAATTATATAATCAATAAATAGTGTGACTTCTATAGAGGGTCTGTAAATTCTTTTAAATAGCTTTATAGGGATGCCACATGAATTTAAAGGTACTTAATTGGTGGCATTTAAGTCTTTTTTTTTTAAATTTCTTAAAATTTTTTATTTGACACAGAGAGAAATCATAGGTAGGCAGAGAGGCAGGCAGAGAGAGAGAGGGGGAAGCAGGCTCCCTGCTAAGCAGAGAGCCCGATGTGGGGCTCGATCCCAGGACCCTGAGATCATGACCTGAGCCAAAGAGCAGAGGCTTAACCCACTGAGCCACCCAGGCGCCCCTTTGTTTAAGTCTTAACTGTGGCATCTCAGCAACCACCAAGATAAGATAACCCACACAGGATTTTTAGCTATTTGGCAGCCTTTGGTTTTAGACTACCGATCATTAAAAAAACCCGATAAATTCAAATGATGTTTGAAAAAAAAAATTAAAAATTTGGTTAGGTTTAATTGTGAAATTAGTTTATTCCTTGTGATGCAATTTCAGAGAGGCAGAATATAACCTAGAAATGAAAAGCCTAGACTTTGGATCACCTGGTTAAAATACCAGTTCTACTGCTCATTAGCCAGATGGTTTTGGTCAAGATAGTTAACTAAGGTCCAGTTTCTTCACCTGTAAAGTTGGGGTGAGAGTTTGACATAGTGCTTACCATAGTATATGGTTTGTAGTATTATAAATGGTATTATTAGTCCTATTCCGTGAACTACAGGAATTTTTCTATGCTGTGTGTGAGGCAAAGAGTTACAGAATCAGAATGTTGGAAATGGAAGGACTTTCAGAGGTGCTTTGGTCTAAGATGTTATTTTCTAGTTGAGAGAGGGTTCCTGAGTTGGAAAGCAAACCAGCCTTGTCCTTGGAGTTCTAAGATCAGTGCCATTTTACTGGGAATTGGCACATTCATACTATTAGACTTTTTAGACCTGAATTGTGCTTCTCTTTGAATTTGTGACTTAATTTGAGTATCTTGATTATTTTGTTATAATAAGATTCTAGGGTTTCCTGGCTGGCTCAGTCAGTTGAGCATCTGCCTTCGGCTCAGGTCATGATCTCAGGGTCATGAGATTGAGCCCTTTGTCCAGCTCCACGCAGAGTGTGGAGCGCACTTAAGATTCTCTCCCTCTCCCTCTGCCCCTCCCTAATCACACTTTCTCTGTCTCTCTCAAAAGAGAAAGAGATTCTAGTTCTATTATCCCAGTTTTATTATTATTCCTTTATTCTGTTATTTATGAGGAATATAACATTTTATGTTATTAATGTTTTTATCATTTCATAAGGGGCCTAATCTTTTCCAGTGGAATAAGCCTTAGCTTGTATTATGCTCTGTAACTAAATTCACTGGAAATAACTTGACAGCTGACTGGTGTACTGCATTGTTTCAGAGCTAGGGGATTGGCAGAGAAAGGTACTTGTTACATAGATCCTGACAGAGGTACTTAGAAGTGAAAGTGCTTTGAATGATTTAATTTATTTTCAAATGTTTTTCTGCAGTTGTAAACATGGTGCCTATTTTTAGAGGCAACAGAAAAACACAGGAGGTGACTTTGATGTCAGTCAGTATATATGTCAGTTAAATCAGGAGTAGAATTTATATTTTATTCCTAAGTAGTTTTCTGTAACAGAACAGTAGGTTACTATGGGACTAAAGATTATTATGTTTAGTATTGGTTATTTTTTCCAGTAGGCTGTTTTTATTTTTACTTCATTTATTTTATTTTGATCATGTTCACATTCTTCCTCCTTTCTCCCTCCCATGATACATACCTGTTCTGGGTCTCTGAGCCAGGGAAGCCAGAGGGAACCATTCTTAGGTAGCCTTTATACTTGATATTAGATGAGCCTTCCCCACAGGTTGCTTGTGCTGTATTTGAATGGAATTATGATTAAATTTGAAAATATTTAAATTTGAAAATATTTATGAAATTTAAATTTGAAAAAAAATTTTTAAGCTTGTTTCTCTTGTTGAACTTTAAATAAACGTTTTATTTTTTCAGAGGTCGAAACAGCAAAGGACTGCCTCAATCCACGGTGAGTAATTTTAATGTCACTTGTTTGGAAGAATTGGTAACTAAAATGTTATTTCTGCACCATAGACGAAAGCCAAGATGAAAAGAAATCTTGGGTTTTATACCTCATACAACTTTTGTACCTCAGTACTGTTTGGTATAAAATTATTAGCTATATGTGTTTTTGGACATGATTCTTCATACAAAATGTAAAATTATCTGTAAATAGTATTTTTCATGCAAAGTAGTAAGTCATTTGTTGTTTTATAAATGGCTAAAGGCAAATCTAAATGAATAACACCCCAAAAGATAAGTGGAACAGGACTGGAGTTTGCAGAGTTCTTTGGGGTTTTGATTTTGAATTAATGCTGTCTTTTAAGTCCTTTCATTTTTCTCCCTTGGAAATGGCCTTCTTATTTTAAATTTTAGAACTCTATCAATAAAATTAAACTGGGCATGAAGGGCAGTTCCATGTGATGGAAAAATAAATGAGAAACTGTCATTTATCTTTCAGATTTTGGCATTACTGGACAGATACTCTTATTTCAAATTAGAAGGATACACGCTTTTGTAGTATGTAGTAAGGAGTGGTGTGGTTGATGAGACCTGAGAGCACTAGCGTTGATTCATATGTGCTAAGAGAAGATAGTCAAGGGTCTTTGACAAAGGTGCACACTCCTGCACCCCGTTTATTTATTTATATATGCTTAGCCCTGTTTAGTGTACAGGTCTTTGAGTTTTGATGTGTACAGTTATGTAACCACCACCACAGTCAAGATAATGGGACAGTTCTCTCACCTTGAAAAATCACTCATGCCATTTAGTAGTGATCCCTCCTTCCTCTCCTCCCCAGCCTTTGCTCTGTCCTCTGTTTCTGTGGTTTTGTCATTCCTCATATATGGAAGTTCTCTTTTGCTTTTTTGTATCACATGTAGTCAAAAACATTGTTAGATGGTTTGACTGTTTTCACTGTTGAAAACTTAAGCTTCTGTTCTCTAAGGAAACAAAGATCGTAGTAAACCCAAGTCTTTCTTTAATGCGTGTAAAGCATCGCAAACTTAACTAAACATTTTTTAAGAAAATAAATGTTAATTTTAATATATATATACAAGGATAAATACTAATTGCTAATAGTGTTTTTTTCTTAATATTCCAGATTTCTTTTGATGGAATCTATGCAAATATGAGGATGGTTCATATACTTACATCAGTTGTTGTAAGTTACCAGATTACTGGGGAGAAACTGCCTTGGGAGTGTAAAGTAATTTCGTGATGCTAAAATGTAGATGAATGATTTTCAAAATAACATTTCTTAGGTCACATTTAATCAGGATTATTTAGAAAAAAAAGCTTAGAACTCTATCCAAACTATTGTGACACACTATAAAAGCATTCTTCTTAACCCTGGTATGTATAAAATAATAGTAGTAGTTGATTAGTGCATTATTTTGTCACCTAATAAAGCCAGAATCAGAAATACTTAACTTCAGTATTTATTTTATCTATTTATTTATTTATTTTTTAAAAACTTCAGTGTTTAAATTCATACTGCAATCTCTGAGCAACGCCTCCTGAGGAATTTTGAGAATTCAGTGTATTGTTAATATTTTAGAATTTATTGTTCTGTCAGTGAATACCTAATATGCTGAGTGAAGCCTGGTGAGCTATATAAAAAGTAAAATGAAAACAATTATCCCTCTTGACTGGGTAGCACACTGTTTCTTTGATAAATTAATTGTATGTTTTTAGGGATCCAAATGTGAAGTACAAGTGAAAAACGGAGGTATATATGAAGGAGTTTTTAAAACATACAGTCCTAAGGTAATTTTTACTCTTTTCCTTTTTGTTAAATGTAAAAGCCCGTGAATCATCAACTGCTGTATGTTTGTATGCCGTCCTGACACTGTGTGTTAGTTCCTGATTTAGCAGTTTATAGTTAGTTTCTGACATTTTCATGTTCTTTAAAGCACTTTTAAAAATTTACACTTTGGGGATGCCTGGGTGGCTCAGTAGGTTAAGCCTCTGCCTTCAGCTCAGGTCATGATCCCAGGGTCTTGAGATCAAGTCCCGCATCGGGCTTCTTGTTAGCAGGGAGCCTGCTTCTCTCTCTCTGCTTCTGCCTGCCACTTTGTCTGCTTGTGTGCTTTTTCTCTCTCTCTCTCTGAGATAAATAAATAAAAAATCTTAAAATTTACACTTTGATTTTGCTCTTTAATTTGAAATACTGATTATTTTGTAGACTGGTTCATATAATTAAACTTGCTCTGTGTGCTTATTAAAATATCTTGACCTTTTCAAGCATTGGAGGCTAGAAGACGTATTGAATGGTTCATTATTTTCTTTATCATCACCATTAATGTACTTAAAACAGACTATGGTAGCAAGGACCAACTTTCAGATAAGAGGATTTTGAATGATGGAATAAATAATAGGTCATATTTTTGAGAAAAACTTACGATTATAAGGTTCTTTTGAGATAGATTATTTTTGTCAAAGACATAAGAAATAGTACCTTGATGTGCTGAAGAATCCCTGTCATATTTTATTTTATAAGTAATTTGAATATTTACTCATGCTTCTCATTTTAGTGTGATTTGGTACTTGATGCTGCACATGAGAAAAGTATGGAATCCAGTTCGGGGCCAAAACGTGAAGAAATAATGGAGAGTATTTTGTTCAAGTGTTCAGACTTTGTTGTGGTACAGTTTAAAGATATGGACTCCAGTTATGCAAGAAGAGGTAAATGTTGATTTCCTAAATATGCTTCATGGTTTATAAGATTTATTTAAACAAGGACTCTATACATCAATTATACAGACTTTTTTTCCCTTTTTTTAAAGAAAAAAATTTTTTTTTAAAGAATAACCTATTTAAAATTAAAGAATAATCTGTTTAATAACAGATGGGAATTTTAATGCATTTGTGTTGAAAAATATTTAAAACTTCAGAGAAACAGTCCTTGGTACTTTTGATAGGATAGATAATAAGAATTCTATTAAAGTTTGTAAAGGATTTTCTACAGTTTCATGGTCAAGAATGCTATAGATCATATTCAGCTGAAATTTCTTGTCCTATTTGGCTTACAGTTCTTTAGTTTATAAATTTTTAGTTTTAAAATGGTTATAAATCATGCTTATTTAGTTTTATTATGCTTTTAGTTCAATAAATGTTTTAGTTTTGTGACTTGGAAATAAAGCACAGGTCTCAGGCAATTGTCCAATGAAGATGAAAAAGGTAAAGAAGTAGAACATGCATATTTAAAAAAAAAAATTGAGAGTATGGGAGTATGTTTTGACGATATAAAAGGGGTGATGTAGTTAATCTGTTTCAGGGGTGCCTGGGTGGCTCAGTGGGTTAAAGCCTCTGCCTTCGGCTCAGGTCATGATCTCAGGGTCCTGGGATTGAGCCCCGCATCAGGGCTCTCTGCTCGGCGGGGAGCCTGCTTCCTCCTCTTTCCCTGCCTGCCTCTCTGACGACTTGTAATCTCTGTTGATCAGATAAATAAATAAAATCTTTAAAAAAATTTTTTTTAAATTTAATCTGTTTCAGATGTCCACTGAGGAGGGAAATATGGGAATGCTGTTACTTGTTTGGAGAGCATTCTTTGCAGTGTTGAGTGTTCATAACTTGTTGAAAAGGCTCTTCTGGGCAGTTTTGAACTTGGTTCTAAAATTCTTAAATTGATTTTTTTTTTTTTTTTCTGGTCAAATTCTATAGTCAATTCTTTTTTGAGTTTTAACTCACCACAATTTTTGATTTTCATTATTCAGTCTAGACCAACAGCTGTTTTTGTTGTGTTCATTTTTCTACACTGTTATTTAGAAATACAAGCCACTAGAAAGTTAAAGCCTTTCTCTTGGACCCTTAACAAGGCTCTCACATATAGTTAGCTTGTTCTTTTCAGAGGCTAGGTACCTTTAACCGCTTTGCCGTGCTACAGAAAGCACTGTGTTCTGTTTTTGTACCTTGTACTCAGATGTCTGTGTTTCTGATTCACAAATCTGTCTAAGAGTCCTTCAATGGCTCATACAAGGAAACAAGTCTTTTTTTTTAGTGTCTGCCTTTGGAGTTGATCTTGTTTATGCCTGGGACCACAAAAATACAGTTAAAGTTGAATTTAGTACACAGTACTCTAGAAAAAGTATGGGCCACAACAACAAAATATTTCTTACTCTGTTGGGTACCGGGCTGTTTAGCTAACAGCCATTCACAATAGACTTTGTTTTTTGTTCTTGAAGTGAATTGGCATTTCCCAAATTTGGAAGGATAAGTATTACTTGGAAATATCTATGGTATCCTATTTTTCGATCCTCTTCAAAATAATGCCTTTAAATTTTTTATTTTATTATTTTGTTATGTCTTTATTTCTCAGATAATTTGTGTTCATTGTAGAAAGGCAAGAACATACAGATCAGAGTGACAGCTTTGACACTGTTCAGTACACTCATAACGGGCTGGATGTATTTTGCTATATACATAAAAATATAGTTTTCTTGATGAGGACATCCCATAGTGGAGTAATTTAAAGTATTTTATATAAAGACTGTAGTGGTGGGGCGCCTGGGTGGCTCAGTGGGTTAAGCCACTGCCTTCGGCTCAGGTCATGATCTCAGGGTACTGGGATCGAGTCCCGCATCGGGCTCTCTGCTCAGTGGGGAGCCTGCTTCCCTCTCTCTCTCTCTCTCTGCCTGCCTCTCTGTCTACTTGTGATCTCTCTCTGTCAAATAAATAAAATCTTTAAAAAAAAATAATAAAGACTGTAGTGGTTTAGTGAATTACAAAGTTGTGTCTAGGGCATAGTATCCTGAAAATAGTACTAAGTCGTGTGTTTAGGATTTCACATCTCTTTTTTTATTTTTTTATTTTTTTTAATTTTTGCTTATTTATTTTTTAAAATTTTTAATTATTTAGATTTTAGGTCTCTTAAGCCAGGTTTTTAATACTGTCTGACAGAAGTTGCCCTCTGTAAGTATTATTTTGGAGATAATAATTAGTATAAAGAAAACTTTTTTAGAGTAATTAATTGGCATGGTTCATTAATTACAGAAATTAAGACACAATTCAGTAACTTGGTAAAGTGATGACACAAACCTAGCACTCAGGTCGTGATCCTGAGGTCCTGGTATCAAGTATGACATCGGGCTCCTTGCTCAGCGAGGAGCCTGCTTTTCCCTCTGCCTCTGCCATTCCCCCTGCTTGTGCTCTCCTTCTCTCTCTCTATGACAAATAAATAAAATCTTTAAAAAATTATTTATTTATTTGACAGACAGTGAGAGAGTAAACACAAGCAAGGGGGAGTGGGAGAGGGAGAAGCAGGCTTCCCACTGAGCAGGGAGCCCAGTGCAGGACTTAGTCTCAGGATCCTGGGATCATGACCCAAGCCGAGGGAAGGCACTTAATGACTGAGCCCCTCAGGTGCCCCCCAAATCATGTTCTTAAACATTGTACTACTGTGACATAAATTATGTGGTCTAATTTGTTGTTTAGCTTTGTCAAAATAAATCTGCATTTACCTTAAAGGATTTCCCCACAAATAACGCCAAAGGTAAAAAAAAAAAAAAAAATTCTTGTTCAATGTAAATATGCAAATTATTATATTATTTAAGATTCTTTTTTAAATCTTTGGCTTTATTTTTGGGGAGACTTTTAAAAGTTAGGTTATTATGACTTTTAACTTCTTAATGCTGACTTTACTGATTTTGTAAGTTTGTCTTTTTCATTTTAATACGTTTATAAGGTTGTCCTATTCATACACATATGCAAGTGAATAAGAGGCCTAGAAATAATTTTTTTAATGATATGGTGGATAAATTTAGTTTGATCTTGTGAATGAGTATGTTACCAGATTGATTTGCAGACAAAATGAAAAGTAACCACTATTTTGTAAGCTGTGGGTTCCTTTTGCACATCCATAGTTAGACCATTAGATTATCACTGGAAAATTAGTGTGTGTGTTATACTTTATCTGAATTCCATCGCAGACAGAGCTGGGATGCTCTCATTTTACCCGCTTCATTTTGCCACCTATTTTTTAGGGCATTCAGTTGCTTTGGTGTCTGCATTTTTCTACCTTGGAGTTGGTGTATTATCTGTACTCACTTTTTACTTGGTTTCTTTTCTCTTTCTCCTTCACTCTCTTTCCGCTTTTTCTTTTGCTCCTTTTCATATTTTGCTTTTAATTTAATACCCCAACTCAACTACATTTTAGTTCTGTGGCCCCTTCCTTACTTCTTCCCTTCTTTCCTTCCTTCCTTAGATTTTATTTATTTATTTGACGGAGAGAGGGTGAGAGCACAAGAAGGGGGAGCAGCAGGGAGAGGGAGAAATAGGCTCCCAGCTGAACAGGAGCTCTATCCCAGGACCCTAGGATCAAGAGCCCAGCCAAAGGCAGATGCTTAATTGACTGAACCATCCAAACGACCCCTGTGTCTACTTTCTTATTTCATTCTCCTAACTTATGCTATTTTCTACCGGTTCATTTCCTTTGCTGTGTTCTCAGTCTAAAGAATGGGTCAGCAAACTTAAGGCCTGTGGGCCAGATCCATTCATTGCTAAATAAAGTTTTATTTTAACAGGGTATGCCTGTTTATTCATGTATTGTCTATAGCCACTTTGATGCTACAGTGATAACATTGAGTAGTTGTAATAGAGACTATATGGCTTGCAAAGCCAAACAATATTTTCTGGTTCTTTACAGAAAAGTACTGCCGACTTTCGTCCTAGATCTTTTTTCCTACTGTGTTTGAGTTGTTAGGGCTGATCAAAAATATATACTGTACTGTCTTTGGTGAAATAATTTAGAAAATGCTTTGGCTCTAATACTGTGTAATTTCATCTATTCTTTATTTGTGACCATTGAAATTGGATTTAGTTTGAAGAGTCAGTTTTCTTACCAGCTTTTTGTCACAATAACTGAAAAAAATCACAAATGAGGAAAGTAGTTATTGGGAAAGACCTCCATCATCAACCAGCTGCTCCCTCCCCTACCTTCAGCTTTATCTTCCCCTTGCTATCATTGCTCTCTTTCCTTTGGTTTTAATAAATGGGATGTTTCACTTCCTGCTGAATCTCAACTTCTCTGGTCATGCCCTTGACTCTATTTTACCATTCCTGGGTTCTTGGTCTTTTATGTCACCTCTGTTTCGAGACTCTTCAATCTTTTCCTCTCCAGTTAGTCTTTCCCTTTAGCCAGAAAACCTATTCAAGTCCCTCCCTCCCTGAGAAGGATTCCCTTTTATCCTGAACTCCTACTTACTATCCTTTCTTCCTTTCTTATCCAAACTTTCTTTTTTCAAAGATTTTACTAATTTATTTGAGAGCGAGCATGGCGGGGAGGGGCAGAGGCAGATTATGGGACTTGATCCCAGGACCCCAAGATCATGACCTGAGCCAAAGGCAGACCCTTACTGACTGAGCCACCCAGGCACTCCATTACCTAAACATCTTAACTCTTACTAGTTTCTTTTGACTCCTGCAACATAATCTGACTTTTATGTTCACTACTGGGGAACTACCTGGAATTAACCTCTCATTGCTCAGTCCTTTGTAGTCTTGCAGACTTTACTATGGTTTTTGACACTGTTGGTTTCATCCTCCCTCAGAAGCTGCTCTTCTGTTTTTCGTGTGTGTGTGTGTGTGTGTGTGTGTGTGTGTGTGTGTTTTAAGATTTTTTTTATTTGACAGAGAGACAGTGAGAGAGGGAATACAGCAGGGGGAGTGGGAGAGGGAGAAGCAGGCTT